GTTAGACGGTGGGTCACGTGTTTAAGTGCACTATATCCTGCTACCTCTGGTTTAAAAAGCATACTTATATGAAATACAGCTCTATTAGCAGTCCTTCTGCTTGAAGCAATTCGTGTGAGTGGCTTTCAGAAAGGTTTGTGTGTGACCCTTCAGATCAATTAGAGTTTCAAGGTGATGAAGCATTGTTGACTAAAGCTACATTCTTGAATTTCCATTCATCCAGACAATTTTTTATATCTGGCAGTGTGATGGTTCCTTCTTGTGGCCACTTTTCACTGCTTTGCTTATAGCTAGAAAATAACTACACAAAAGTGAAGGTATAAAATCATCAAGTTAGAAAATATCTATTTGGGATCTTAGTCTCAGTCTGGTAAACTGAAGTGGGCAAATATTCAGGATTACTGAAGTCAAACAGAAACTGATGATCTGACAAATAGATCATCTTCTTTACTTACCAAGCCAAGTATTAGATGATTTTGGAAACTAAGTAAAAGACGTATTTTAATGCTGATAAAAATGTTATCACACCTAGGCTATTTTTCAATTCAGGTTTCTGGAGAATAGTCTCCTAGATATCTGTGTGAGACTGCTGACACTGTGTTATACAGCTGGGGCGATCTGACACACCGACTACAATTTTTCAGGTTCATTTTCATTGTAATGACAGGAGAGGGATGCCAGGCTGAGAAAGCAAAAGAAAAACCCTAATAGTGCAAAGAATTGACCAGCTTGGGGACAGTTTGACATATTGTATTAATTCAATGTCAACTATTTTTGTATTAATTTCCCTGTTGTGATTATAAGGCTCTAAGTAGAAGGTATGAATAATTACAGATTTATCAACTGCCTGGTCCTCCTTACGAGTCACTGACATTTAAGCACAAATCAAAGTAATTTTTTTAGATAACAAAAACATCCTGACTGACAACAGCAAGAGTGCTTCAAAGTACACTTATCTGTGAGAAGGAGCAGAATAGCTGCTATCACTTTCTTTATGTTTCAGCTCCTTGCCTTATGCTTGCCTGCCTGCTATAGGCTACTGGCAACACATCACATATCTAAGGACAATTTTTATCCCTGATAGAATCCATATCTTTGATATAACTGGGTAGAATAGTTGTACAAGAGCTGTCTTCAAAATTACTGGCTTGGGAATTGCTGGCTTGGGAATTGAGAGGTCAGCATAAGTGAAGCCCCGTACTATTTGCCTTAATTCTCAGCTGGATTGTGCAGCCAGCCCTGAGTTCTGCTTTGCCACAGCTCACCTGTTTTCAGAGTTGAAGATGGCTCACTAAGGCATCCCTGACCTGCAGCCACAGTGAAGTAATATAACGAAACACAATAGGTTCTTGAACTAGAATTCTCTTATCTAATGGTGATTCTCATGCAGTTTACATAGAAAAATGTCTCTTGTCATTGAGATGCTTTATTAAAACCTTTGTTAATTTGCATAGATAAATCAGATTTTGAAAGATGGGTGGTTGCTTTTTTCTTCCACAAGTTTGTTTGGGGGTAACAAACAGAAACAGAGCTTGAAAAGTCCTCTCTAATTCCTGATGATACTCAAGGAGACCTAAAAATAGTTAGAATACTATTTGCCATCACTCACTATTATTGAAAATGTAACATGTAAACTTCCACCTGGTGTGGAATTCATAGGTATAATTTCATTTATCATTTCTGCAGTAGAAATGATAAAAGCAGACTCAGATATAATCTTCTTACTGGGTAGGGACATGTATGTAACTACAACTGAAAAAAAAATAGCATTTATTCTGTAAAGTAGCCCAGATTTAATTCAATATTTCTCCTAAATAAAATGAATGACACTATGAGGTACAAGGATGGACTGTGGTACAGAATGTCTAAGCTGCTAAGAGTACAAGTCTATAAGGGTCTTTAACATCAGAGTCCCAAAAGCAGCCTGGTGGTACACCTAAATCAGTATTCTGGACTCCATATAAGTGACCAAAACCTCACTAAGTAAATAAACATCTTTTGAACTTCATTTATACATTTCCGAGAGGATTTGTTGCTTTAGTTCACAATATTTCATTACATCCCTAAAAGCAAAAGGACAATACCAATGCATGGCTTAAGAACTCATAAAATTTCATGACTACTTCTCAAGATTAAATATGTCACGTGAATTCTTTTTTAAATAGAAGTGTAAAAATTAAAATGAGTAGCAGAAATATCTACTTTAGGTAGATATTTAAGTTTAAGGAATAAGGATGTTGTCCTGGAATAGGACAGTACAATATTCAACAGGACAATATCCAACAGAATAATCAGTCAGACTGATTAATGAATCCATTCTTTTATATTCATTTTATGAGATGGATCAATGAAATTTTACCCCCAAATTTATATTTTACTTAATATAATAAAATGGTCTCAACGGCTGTAATATTCTATCATTATTTCTATCATGTCTTAACTATTAGTTTAAAGGTAGAAGTGCTGAGAGATGCTTATACACTCTGCCAAACTTGCCCTATCAATCTATCACAGGAACAAAGAACGCTTTAACTTGGACCGAGACACACAAGCAATCTCTTTTACTCTTAAGTCTGTCCTAATTAGAAGCAACTGCTGAAACTGTGAGCATAAACCAATAAATGCAACTATTCCTCTTCCTATATAAACCTAACTTCTTGAAAACAGAAATAAAACTCACACAACATAGGATTTCAGAAGTAGAGGTAACCAACTTTATGACTACTTTTATTTGCTTTCTATTCAGTTTTTCTCCCTGAAAACTAACAAGCCCTTATCATTTTTTGCATGAGATCTCATCCTCTGTGATTCCTTACCAGTTCAACAATAAATTTCAGAACTACAGAGCAGTCTGTTTTTTCTCCCCAGAGCCCTACATATCACATAATAAAGAAATTTGAAACAGTATTCCCAAAGCTGGCATGTCTCAGTGACACAAAAGCTGAGGGAAATTCAGGAAAAAAAGCACGCAAAATAGGATATTTCTTTTAAATAAATTCTTTATAATCATATGTAACTTATTCAAGCAATAAATCTATATGATCTAAAGTGGCAGGGTGACTTCACATACAATTATGCCTAGAGTTAAATACCTTATAACTGAGAGTGACATGATTTATTTCATTTGGTCCATTTGTAGTATAAGGTAAGAGCCAACACGATTCCAGATATGGCTTTCAAGCCAGGCCAGTTAAATAACTTCTACATTTATAGCTTAAAATGAAACCACATTTTTCTATACAGGAAAATGTTCTTCCCAATAAAATGCCAAGGGGAAAATATCATAGTGGTATATGGAAAACTAAGAGAGAAGTAATTACAGTACATTTGTATTGTCAACTTACTGATCTTGTTAGATCTTCTAAATATCATGCATGCCCTCATGAATGTCCTACACCTTCTGTGGTTATACTCTAGGCCTCTGATCTACACTATTTTAAACTTTACACAAAACATACTTCCAGATTAAGACATAGAAATGTCCTTTATAGGATCTGTGTTTCACACCGATCTTAAGGGACTTACTATGCCTCAGAAAAATGCTTGTGTTCAGTGGACAGCGCAGTTCCAAAGCCTGGTATTTTAACTAGTGAAAACTCCATCTTTAAAAAAAAATACTAATTACAATGGGAAGCTATGTTGTTGAGCCCCATTACTAAGAAGGCAGGTAATTAACTCCCCTTTACAATTTACTGGATATATGTATGGCAGTCTTTCCACTGCAATACATATGTTTATGGTAATTATGCGAGTAGAAGTGTGAAAAGCAAAGATGATTTGTTATTTTCTTCCTCTACTGAAAAAAACCCACAATATTGTCCTGCACAGACTAACTTATTTAGATTATCAGAGCCAAAATCATCAGAGTCATGCTGAAGTTCAAGTCAGATTCTAGCCCATTCTGTGCAGCTATGCCATAAAGATGCTTTCTTTATAACCACCTTTTAGACTGCTGCTTATAATGCAGGTTCCACCAAGTCTTCCTTAGCCCATATTTAATAGAAAGTTTGGAATTACAATCCACTCCACCTTACCTTGCAAACTCTAAAGTTGTATCTTGCTAACTGGCCCTCATATACTATGCCTGATATAGCTCTGGCACTCTTTCAGTATTAGTTCAGCTGTGAAATCAAGAAGGTTCTTCCCCTTACACAAACCAGATCAGTAACACGATGTTAGTCAACAGCCATCTGTCATCCTCGCATATTACCCAAATCATGACTCCTAATCAAGATCTCACAGGTCAGAAAGTCAATTGCCTGTTTCAAATAGGTCTCTGCTGCTGAGAACTGTCATTTGTCAAAGCAGACTCAGTCCAATTACTTAGAGCAAAATTACTATATTCTGAAATTCCTGTACCAGGTGGTGACTAATGAAGAGTTCAAACAAGGGTAATGGAAGAGATCATATCATTTTGGAGAACATAAACAGAATTCTTACAGATAATATCACACTTACAGATAATATCCAATTTAGCATAATTCTATCAGTTTTTAACTATTTTAACTCGCTGTTGTTCAAACCTATATATAACACAAACAGCAGACTGTCAAACTGTCATTTAATATTTCTCTTAATTCTCATTCACTATTTAATTTTTAAAAATGGATCAGATATTCTTTCACATCAAATGAAAATGCAGATTACTTTAAATTTTGAAGTAGTTCCATAATGTTGTTGCTAAGCAGTACTTTGAAAAAAAAGAAACAGGATGGTTAAAGGATTACTGCAAAAGGCTCGTCTACAAGAAACTGAAAATCTGGCTTTTCACAACCTTGTATTTATCTAGGAAAGTATATAAACATCTGCTTTGTTTTAATTTCTACAACATTTTGCTATTAATCTTTATTCTGATGTGAACCACTTACGGTAGCTAATGGATATACCTAACTAAAATCATACTGTGATAAACAGAGTACTGCATGCTTAAAAATAGAGACCTATATATTCTATAGATTAACACTTACACCAATGACTGTGTAAAGGATTATTTTATTTACCTGGTCTTGAGGAAGGAACTCTTGCTATCTCTAGAGAACAAGGCTTTTTGGTGACTGCTATGTCTATCGAATCACAAAGACTGCTGTTATTTTCTGAAGGAACAGCATCCAGAGGTACAGAGGGTATTGCTTCCAATGCATAACCTCTCTTCTTTGAATAAGATTCCTGAAATGCAAAAATTAAGTAGGTAAGAGAGATATTTCTCAGATGACACAGTAAAAGAACCAGGCTCAACAACTCTGGCTAGCAGGGTTTAGAATTCAGGAAATTAAATAGAACATTCTGCTTAAATCCAAACTGCAACAGACCAGAATACACTTCTTATTTCTTTAAATTTTTGTATAATACTGTTCTTGTTCAGTTTACAGAAGAACTTGATTCACCAAACTTGTATTTAATGAAAACTGGATTACTGCTTTCGCCACACCTGTTTTGCTAGGTTGTAATTCAGGGGATGTCTCATTTTCTTTTTTAATTGTATCTCATGACAGCAACAATTACATTAACCACTACAATTACATTCTCTTCAGAGATGGTTTTAAAAAATGTTTATATTACATCTAAGAAAACTAAAAATATGCCTTCTACATATGGATGGCAGGATCCCTGGCTGTGAATGAAGATGAATTACTGCTCTACATTTGAGCAAAATAATGACAAAAGGTCCCATAACAGTGATACATACAGCAAATTCCACTGATTAGCAAATGTTGAGGGAGGGGAAAAAAGGAATTAGAAGTTTTGCTAGGACAGTAATCCAATCAAGCAGCCTGTTTCTAGTTTTGAACATGAATAAGAAGATAATATCCAGTTTCAGCAGTGTTTCACTGGAGATTTATATTTTTTTTAATCCCAGCAAAAAGTGATTGCATGGGCAAAGACGTATTTCCACATCTTTCTTACACTGGGCATATGATGTCTCTGAAAGTCAAGCATCAGACATAAATCACATATGATATAATAAAAGGCAAAGGGCAAGAAAGCACCCTGACAGTTAGATATTATCATAGCCCTACTCAGAAAATGATTGAAGAATGCAATGTCTAAAACAAAATGTGGAATAACAATTTCTTCACCAAGAACTGGTATTACCTAGGGGAAGCTACAGCTGTAGGCAACAGCGCCTTTTCAGATAAATGATTTATACTGTTAGGAAATAATTACATGACTCAACTGTTCATGTTTTTTTTGTTGTACTTTTTTTTCCCTGGTCATTGTGCTCATTTGATCTTTATGAGAGTTCACAGTTTGGCAATAACTCAAGGCCTCTTGAAGGATAGGGTTACGATGGCACCAAGAGCAGCTTCACTTCAAAATTTTTCATGACTTTAGTAGAGACAGATTTAAATCCCAGGTTAAACTAACAAAGAACTTGAAAATGAACACTGGGAACAGTGATCAGGGGGAAAAAAAATCATGCAAATAAAATAAAAAGAATAATATGGTGCATTTGTAATTTAAAAAAAAATAGTATGTACTAGCAAACAATACAAAATTGGTGGTCAGCATTCAAAAAATATATCTAAAAGAGGAATGTGATTGCATCCCTACCTGATTCTCCTTTTACAGTTTCTATCCAGTCAAACTATGAGCTCTCAGTAATCTCACAGATATAAACTAATAATAACTAGTTTCAGGACATAATAAGGATTATTTTGCAAGTAGGTCTCCTGCAGCTCCAAAAGTAACTTTATTAACTTCAGCCATTTCATTCCTTAAATGTCATTAATAGAAAATTATGCAGATGCATCAAAGCAGCTGAAGTGCAACTGCAGGACAGCAGAAGGAATCCTTCCAACCTTGAAAAAAATGTTTTACCCGTCCATTTAAGCCTGCTGTAAAAAGGCAGAGGCAAAAAATTTATTTACAAAAGCAATGACTAAAACAGGAGACTTCAATTTAATCCTTGTACTCTTCTAGAAACATGCATTTAAGTCAGAATGCCAAAAACCTAATTATAGTAAATCTGCCTAGAGAGGTACATGAAGAAATACTGCAGCCTTAAAATTGTCACAAAACACCAAAGTTAAATTCTGTTCAGTGCCTGAATTCAGATACATTTAAAAAACATTAACAATTTATATACAAAACATTGAAATAAAGACTGGATCATCCTTTCTGTCACCCAGTATTCTGTCTGTAAAGGCAACCAACAGTGCTGACCTAGAGAACACCGAAACCAACATGAGATCAGGTCAAGCATGTGATATCTGCTTCTCCTTCTGCAACACTTTGTGGGTCTCACACTCCATAGTCCAAAGATGCTCACTTTGTTTCACACGTCTACCAATCCAACTTTTTAGAATTACCTTCTCAAGCTGCCTTTAGAGCACGTCACCTTTCATAGTTCACATGCCCCCCATTTAGTTTTTAGCTATCTCACCAAGTTTGACATGGCTGTTTTATACTTTAGATGGCAATATAGGGCTGTTCTTCACTTATCCTCTCCTTGTGATTTCACAGACATATGCACTTCCCATGTCCTCTCCTTTAGGGAATAAGAAATACTAACCTACTCATCCAGCTGTTCTGGGATTTTGACCCTTCATCCTCTCAGCCTTCAATGATGTGACAGGAATCACATTTTCTCAGAATTCCTCATTCAAGATGAGGGTTCACCAAGTAGTCATACTGACATAATGATGTTCCTTTTTCTGTATTCTACTCCTTTCCTAATTGCTCTTAACATTCAGTTTGATTTTATGACTGTTATTCAACATTCTGTAATTAACATTGCATGAATATAAATGGCAGAGAAGAATAAAAATTATGGGGCTACTCAGAAAATGGTTTGAATGTAAACTACTGACAATTAAATTCTTCCTAAATATCTCTCTAATAAATAAAATATAATAATAGTATGTCCAGCAGAAGTTAAATGAGTTAGAGCCAAAAAAGAATTAAAGTTAATACTTTAGAAAGCCTTGAATTCTATCAACCATTAAGTGAAGATGATAAACCTTGTTAAAAAGTACATATGTAGCAAAAGGAAAAAAGAAAAATTCTCATTGCTGGAGAGAAGCATTGTACAGTCTTCTGGTTGTTGTAAAATGTTCTGCATTTTGCTGGTACTGAGCATTTCTAGAAATTTCTAAGATTTAAACTAATTCACCAACTTCAACTTAAGTGTTAGCAGATGTTGTAAGATTGTCTGTAAGTATCAGCATGAAGCCATGTGATTTTGTTTTTTTCTAAGATTGAAAGCTCTTGACCAACTGCAATTACAAGTAACTACAGTAATTCTACATATCCAAGTTACTATCAACAGCATAATAAAACCTCCTAAAATACTTTTCCTTTATCTTTAGTCCTGAAATCAAAATGTAATTTTTGTTTTAAAAATAGAGGTTATTCAATCTCAAATTTCTATTAACCATTCCAAATTTCTGAACATGAGGCACATAACTGACCACCACCATCAAGACAGAATTTGTCCTTATTTGAAATTATAACTTCATAACAATAATGTGTTGGTCTGGTAGTACATTAAAATAAGTATTCTTTGTGGAAAGGAAAAAAATACATACACAATAGAAATTTAAAAAAAAATCAAAACAATATTGAGAGTGAGTGAATAATTTTAGTGGGAAATCACTTGAGAACAGTCACCTATACTGTTAAATGTAAATTAGATTTTTTTGTCTTGTAGAAAGAAAGAGTAATGTGACACTGAGGTTGCAGAGCACATGCCAGGGAAACACTGTGGCCCTTATTCATAGGCCTGCAGTCAGCTGGGTCTCCTCTGAGCACACATCTGAAGCTATAATAGCTATAATATGCTGTTTGAAACCTGAACAGGGGTAAGAGATTGTTAATCAGTGGAAATGTTCCTAAAATATCTACTTTTGGCCACTGCAAAGGGTTATAAACAATTGTGAAACAATGTGGTATAACATGAGTAAACCTTCAAGAATAACATGATGTTGAGTTAGACCTTTTTTCCACGTTTTTGCCAGGTTTCTAGCTTCTCTTGCTTCTTTCTGTATAGTCTTGCCCTCCTTTTCAGAATCAAACTGAATGAAGTATGCTTAAGGGCTGAGATAATAAGCAGCATATGCAAATTTGTGTTTGTATGAGCTATGAATAGAACGATAGAGGCTCAGAAGGCACCTAATCTGAACTGACATTCTGACAAGAAGATAGAATTTGTACTTAATCTGTCAATATCCTTTCCTATAAAAATCAGGTCACTCGAAGCTTTATTACTTCCCTAGACCATGGGACAACACACCGGCGTCACACATGACTCTCAAAGTAGAAATAATCTTGGAAACATAGAAAGGAAGAATGCAATATATCTGCCGCCTTTAGAAATATCTTTTTCATTTATATAGATAGTGAAGAACAGCTATTACATTCTGACATACCCCTTGAGGTCCACTAGGGTATCTTTTTCATTTATATAGATAGTGAAGAACAGCTATTACATTCTGACATACCCCTTGAGGTCCACTAGGGTATTGTGATGTCTCCCCTGGCCTGCTGAAGGCCAGAGGACCAGAATCCAGAATCCAGGTAGCTGCCATTCCATCATAGTATGCCCAGTTCTGCCCAGATGTTCTTTAGAAGGGTACTATGATACTTCATTGATGAAAATCTGAAGTTATTGATTTTATATGCTCCATCAACCCAAAGCTCCTGATTATCCTGAGAGTGAGCAATGAACATTGCATTTATCCCATTTACGTCATAGAATGATAGAATTATGGAACGGTTTGGGTTGGAAGGTGCCTTTAAAGGTACCTTCAACCCCTTGCTGTGGGGAGAGGTATCTTAAACTAGATCAGGTTGCTCAGAGCTCCTGACCTTGAATGTTTCAGGGGATGGGGCATCTACCTCCTTCCTGGGCAAACTACTCCAGTGTTTCACCATCCTCGTTGCAAAAAAAAATGCATTTTCCTTGCATCTAGTCTGAGTGTATTTGTATCAAACATATTTCTTGACATTTGAAAACAGACTGATGCATAACCTTGTTGGACTTCACACTGAAATACTAATGATAAATAACTGAAGGTTGCTGAGAGGAATCAAGAATACAAGCAAGAAAGAAGTTCTGAGCAGTGACTAAAGATAATTGGAACAGTTTTCTGACATGCAGCAAAGTGGAAAGGGAAATGCTTGAACCTGAACAGCGTTGCACAAGTCTGCCACAATAATGTACTAAG